TACATAAATTCCGCGGAGGGCGCGCCTCGACGACATGTGAAAGCTGCTTGCGTTTATATTCCAGAAAGGGAAAAAAATAAACTAAAAAAAAATAAATACGAAGGGAGATTTTGGATGTACAGTAGTCCTGTCTTGTCATCATAAACACGCACGTTGATATTCACGTGCATAATCGTTGTGAAATTTGGTACGAAGAGGAGATTTCTTTGGTTATGAATGTTGTTCTGCTCGGCAACACATCTCTGCGGGTCACGCTGCAATTTATTTATTTATTATTTATTTATTTATTATATATATTATTTTAAAAATCTCGCGTGCCACCAGTCGTTTACTTTAACCGCAACCCTAACCCTTAAACCAGTGGTTGTTGAAGTTTCTCCTCCAAGTGCCAAGTCAAAAAATGATTTGGAGTACTTTGTAACGCCATCAATAATCGTTAAATTACAGTAGTGTTGTAGGCCCAAGAGTTTTCAATTCCCCAAAATGATTTTACTGGAAGGCACTGTCACTTTATGTACAATTTGAACAGTAACACCGTGCTTCAATAGGACAATAAACAACTGCTGAAATGATTAAATTTTTGGATGTACAGAACTGTTCAGCATTTTTAGACAATCCAATTGAAATATATTCCACTTAAATGCACCCAAAAGCTGAATACAACTGAACTGTAAAAGGACACAACTGCTTTTTTTTTTTTTTTTAACCATCTCAAAAAAGCAAAGAAACTTTGTAGCTCACCAGTGTAGGTCCAGCTCGTGTCCTCTAGAAAACAGAAGAGGGAGAACTTTCAACTTCAAGTCATTCAACTATGACAACCCCCAAAAAAAACCACTTCATCACGCTGATGGATTTTCACTGCTGCACTACAACTATTGTACCGAGCACCTCTTGGTAACATAACACGTTTAAAAATGCAAAAAAACAAAACAAACAAAAAAAAATACCTCACCTCACCCAGCGTTGATTATTATGTTAATGAAATTCTTACCGGCAGCTGTCCAATGGAGGCCGGGCAGCAAAAGCAGCACAAAAGGAGCCACAGAGTCCATGATAGCCCTCCTTGCCCACACACACACACACACACACACACAACACACACACAATACAGCCAAACAAACGTACAAACAGCGGACGAAGGGATGAGGAGTGAAGTGAGAGAGCGAGGGGTAATTGTCGACTGCGTGAGAATCAGGAGGGCACCGAAACTACAACCCAAGGCTTACAAGGCTACTAATGTTAGTTTTAATACACAAAGTGAAGAACAACAGGAAGTCTGATGCGGTTCAGACAGGACACTTGTTAATCACCACCAACACGG